ACCCTTTGCTGCATGGAAGCTGAAGCGGGGACCTGGGCAGCAAGTGGAAGAGAGGGAAGGGACGCCCAGCCTGATCACGTTTTGTCTATCTTGTTTTAACTTTGAGGCTTGCGACTGTCATCACTGGGCAGGTACGCGAACTGAGCATCTCAAGGGCAAGAGCCTCTTCTTTTTCTTTCTTTCTTGGCCAACATGAGTCGAATCGATGGAAACTCCGAAGCCCTCAAACAGCTCCGCGCCGAGCTGGAGCCCGTCCATCGCGACTTCAACCGTCTAGACGCAAAGACTCTCAAACGCGGTCCTCGACTACCTCGTCTTGCCGTTGTTGGAGAAGCCTCTTGTGGCAAGTCCTCGGTCTTGGACGCCTTCACCCACATTGGCTTCCCCGTCAAGGAGCAGAACGGCACTCTCTTCACCACGGCCGTCATCCTTCGTTGCACCCAACTCGCAAAGGCCGAAGCAAAGGTCAACAACGGCGACACTAAGACGGCGCCCACTGGGTCGAGGCTACAGACTTTGGAGCGCCGAGGGCCCGACGAGAGGGACTTTGCTGGTATCGTGGACGATGCAAAAGCCTTGTTGCGTATACAGAGGTCGGATGGTTATTGTCCGCAGCATGGCCTGTACATCAAAGTCTCGGGGCCTGATCTTCTTCCCCTCTTCATCACCGATCTGCCAGGCATACTTTGGGACGACGAACAACGCAATGATGACGACGCAGTTCTCTGTAGGGAGCTGGCAGAGCGAGAGATGGCTAACACAGACGTCGTCATCCTCGCCGTCGTCTCCGCCCAAAACGGTCCCAACGCCTTGAAGATCCTCGACCTCGTCAAGAAGTACGACCCTAGAGGCGAGCGAACCCTGGGAATCATTACCAAGCCCGATCTCGCTGTCTCGCAAGCAGACCAACTCAAGTTTGCCAACCTCGTGAGGAACATGGACCCAGAGTATAGGCTCGATCTCGGATGGCACATGCTGCGCAACAGGCCGTATTCAGGCTGGACAGTATCAGCAGAAGAGCGAGACTTGGTTGAGACTGAGTTCTTCCGCATGGCGCCTTGGTCGTCTGTGCCGCCACAGGCTCGCGGTGCTTGGATGCTTCGCCTCAGGTTAGGCCACATTCTGCAAGCTTCCATCCTCAAGGGCCTACCAGACCTGTCAATGGCAACTGAGGCCAAGATGGAGACCCTCGATATACGACTGCAGAGGCTCGGGCCACCGCTATCGACCGTCGAAGAGGCCAGAAACTGCATGGTCAAAGTAGCTGCTCAGTTCCAAACTCTGCTGGCGGCAGCTCTCAAAGGAGACTATACCGATACCTTCTTCGGAGACGGAGGCGTCGGTTACGGAGCTTACCGACACGAAGATACCGTCGTAAGGAGACTACGCACTCTCATGGGAAACTTGAATAGATCCTTCGCCCTCGTCATGGTCAACTCGGGAGCTAAACGTCACTTCATCAATTCCGATGGCTCAGGAGACTACAAGGCTCAGGTTCCAAGCCAGCTCATACCATTCGTCGAATTCTATCACCAGCCCGGCCCTGACGCAACACCAAGAGAAGAGTTTATAGCAGAGGTGGAAAACATGATACCCGTCAACAGCAGCGAAGCGGTGATAGCGTCCCTTTTCCGCGAGCAAGCAGCACCCTGGGAATCAATAGCAACAACACACATTGAACTGGCTAAGAGTACTGTAAAGGCGTTTGTGGAGTCTACTATGACACACATCGTCGGCACCGACAATAAGATACTAGGAGAAGCGCTGAGGACGTTCGTGGATCCGTTCTTTATACGCACGAGTATGGAGCTCGAACTGAAGCTAAAGGAGCTCCTCAAACATTACAAAGAGGGACACATTCAACCTCACGACACGGCCTTCCGACGGTTTCTCTTCCAGCAGCAAGCAGGTTTGCAGTATCGGCCCCTCGCCAGAAACCCGGACTTGAAGTCTTGGAGCATTGATCGCACCAACGCTGAGGCAGCCGTCGACGAGATGACGAGTTACTACAATGTGAGTTGAAGAAAACGCATATGTTTGATAACTTTCGGTTCCATGTCTTGCTGTTTATCTTATCTACTGACACTTGACCGAGTTTACCCTCCAAACCTTCACAGATAATGTCATCACACTGGTAGTTGACAACTGCCTAATATCTCACATGCCAGACATCATCACTCTTGACCGAGTCCTCGAACTCAACGACGAAGATCTGCAAATGTTCGTTACCGAGACGGAGGAGATGAAGCAAAGGCGAACGGATATCAAGATTGAGCGTTTCGAGCTCAAGGAGGCTCTAAGCGCCTGTCAGAAACATCTGGACCGCGGATTTTCAGGTAGAAACAAGCGTGTTACTGCACTGCCGATGAATAATGACTGACTATCAAGTAGGGGTACCGCTCGTATTGCGGCCGACGGCTGGGTCTGACGTGACTGGCATCCCAAGCCAGCCACCATCTACTTTATCAAGTTTCTAACCTTTCATATTTTTGTAAATAGTCGTCACTTGTAGGCTTTTAGGATAACTATAGGGAAAATATGCAACGGAAGGGTAGCTTTATATCTATATAAGGGGTTATCTAGTTCATATGTAATCAACACAGGGCAGAGGATTTCGTCAACTCAACTCAAGCGCACAACGAGTGAAAACAACGCACCTTGGCCAAGCCGATCTGGCCATACAGTGTTGGAGTGTGTTTCGATACCGTTCCAAGGCCCAATCCAACGTGGAGTAGCAAGCAACTAACAATTCCAAATCATGGGCAAAGGGCCTCTACGAATAGGTGCATAGTTACAATCGACCTTTGACCCGACCAAGTTTTGAGCGTGTCTTGGTCTTTTTCTCGACCTTTTCCCCTCCGTCCTTGAAGCCGTTGTCTTTGTTCTGTGCGTTACCATCAACAGATTCTCCGTGCCCATGATATTTCCCATCGCCCTCAGACCAAGAAGTAAGCATGTAAGAGATATTCAAAATCAAGGAGTCGTATCACGCGTGGTAATCAATTATAGTGACTATGATCGGATTGGGCGTCTTTCGGCAAACAGATGGTCAAGCAAGCAGACACATCCATCTACCATTTATATATGCGCAAATACGTAGGGCAAACTGGGAAATGTCCTCACTAACCGATACATGAGGAAGCGACTCACAACTTGGACTCGGGTTCGCCAGCGTGCTGGTCACCCTCGCCGCCGTCCTTGCTGCCGTCGTCTTCTTCATTGTTGCCAGGTTCCTCTTCGCACTCCTGGTCACGTTTCTCTCTCCGCAACCACGGCACAGCGACTCCAAGGACAGCAGACCCCTGAATTACGCCGTTTACAGCTGCAACGCCATAACCACCGGCAGCGGCGCTTTGGAGGGTTGCAAACAAGCCGCCCGCCGCGACGTTCCCGATGCTGCTCTGCACGCCTGCGGCAATGGTTCCTGAGATTCAAGTCAGCATTCGGATATTGGAATACAGAAAGCGGTACTCACCTCCGACAATGCCGTTGGCACCAAAGCCGGCGGCTCCTAGGAGTGGTGCTGCGACGACACCGGGAGCTGCAATGACAAGGGCGGCTGTTCCAAGACCGGCGGCTTGGAATGGGTGATTCGAAGCCCACTCGTAACCCTGCGAAGGTTAGCAAAAGATAGGATGCATTGTGTTCAAGCATGGATTTCTTGCCTTGGAGAAGTAACCATCCTGCTCTGGGCCGCCGCCACCTTGGTTGGCGTTCGCCATGTTGGATAAGCTCGTGCTTGAATCGGACTTTCTCAGTCGGTATTGAGTTACTGTGAAGAGGCGGCGAGAATGGCGTCTCAGGGACATTTGGAAGGTGTAGAGAGCAAGGCGGAGAAGAGACGAGGGTGGGGTGAGACGGTGCAGCCTTGTTGGCCGTCCGCAGCTGGCAAGCAATCGGCCAACCAATGGGCCAGCTCAGGATGATTGATGAGTAATGACAGAAGCACACAAGGCAGTTTCAAAGTGATTGACTTACAGTAGAGTGTTTTGGATCCATGACGCATTGCGCGTGTCAGCCTATGCTGATGCCTGCCCCCAACCAGAACCAACTTGTAGGTGGTGATGGCGAGCTCCCCATCTTGGAAGGTGTATAGAACAGAGTAAAGACGTCCGCGTTTGTTCACAACTGTTTACGCAAGGAACTTTAACATTTCCTTAATAGGGCATTTTATTTCATGACCGTTTCAGTGTCCCGAGTGCGCATGCATGTTGTCCGAACCAGTCCATCCCTCCAACATTCTCCTCATGACTTCCGCTCAAAACAACAAGGCCCAACTACCTACGGCGAATGCAAAAGCTGCGCCAACGCATTGAATGACACCATTCACAATGCCCAGCCCATATCCTAGAGCACCCGCACTTTGAAATATCGCGAACAATGACCCTGGGATAACGTTTCCGATTATAGCATGGATCCATGCAGCAAAGGTGCCTGACCAAGAGGTTTGGTGTGAGAAATGGAAGTTGACTTGAAAAAGAATAGAAACTAACCAGCTCCAACTCCTGCAGATCCAAATCCAAGAAGGCTTAAGAAGGGTGCACTTATGATAGCCGGGATGAATGCAACAAGGCTTCCACCCAGCGCGGCGAATAGAGGCCAAGCCATGGTGGTTGAGCCCTGATACTTGGGAGATAATGTGCCGATGAAGGAGTCAAATTCAAGGTGAATGAGCAAGGCAAATGTTGTGACGAGAGATGAAGGCGAATATGTTTAGTCTTAATAGTGATGTGGTTTTGTTAGTGTTTGCTTGGACCTGCGGGAGGCCGGCTAAGCCTGCGTCTCGTCAAACGTTCACACTGCCCCATTCATCGAATCTGCCTCTCCATGCGCCTATTGAGGTATGAGTATGCCTTTTGGGCCGCAGGTTGTTGGCCGTTGTTCCCAAGATGCCCAGGCCTACCTCACGACCAGCCATCAACCAACATGTCGTGACATGCTACGTCGATAGTGTCTATTTCCGACGCCGCCTGCAACAACAACATCGATCAACAGATTGGGCCCGGTTAGCTCAATCGGTAGAGCGTGAGACTCTTACGAGTACACAACTCTGAAATCAAACATCTCAAGGCTGCGGGTTCGACCCCCGCATTGGGCTATTCCTATAATATCATTGGTGTTCTTTTTTTGCTCTTTTTACCGACAGTGTGAAATGTGATGGATTCTGAGTGTGGTAGGTAGGTAGCACACAACAGTGAAAAGAACCGACTGTGTTGTTAGATAGCACCTAATTGATCATCTTGAATCGTTGGCACGCTTACTCGGTCCGATATTTTAAAAGGCTTTTTTACATTGAACAGAAAATAGATCCATCCCTCGGGAATCGGAACAAAAGCCACCGGTCCGTCGTTCGTCCCGCGCAAAAAAAACGCCGCCTGGCCCGTGCGCACCCCGTCCAGATCGGCGCATCCCAACAGCTTCAGCGAAACAGCTCAGCAATTCCCATCAGTCGACAATCCCTCACCACGCCCTGCTCCTCCGACCTCGTCCATTTCCAACCCGAAAACCTACCCAATCGTCTCGGTTGCAACTCATATCTCTAATGGCATCTTTCGCGGCAGCATGTCGAGCGTCTGCCCGTCTCGCCACCACTCGCGTCGCCGCCCGTAGTACGTTGCTCCCCCCCGATTCTCTCCTGGGAACCTTCCCACCACTCCTCCCAACATTTCGCGCGCAATGGCAATGCACGACGACATCACAACGCAACAAATAACTAACACGACAAATCGTTAAACGCAGGCTTCACAACCTCGTCGCGATGTCTCGCCGCTCAAAACTTTACCATGCCGGCGCTCTCGCCCACCATGACCGAGGGGAATATTGCCAGCTGGAAGGTTAAGGAGGGGGAGTCTTACAGCGCCGGCGACGTGCTGCTCGAGATCGAGACCGACAAGGCCACCATGGATGTCGAGGCACAGGACGACGGTGTCATGGTCAAGATCATGAGCTCGGACGGCAGCAAGGGCGTCCAGGTCGGCACTCGCATCGCCGTCATCGCTGACGCTGGGGACGACGTCAGCGCCGTCGAGATTCCCGCCGAAGAGCCTACTTCCCAGGCCAAGGAGGCTCCCAAGGAGTCTTCTTCCGAGTCTGCTCCGTCATCTAGCGAGCCCAAGTCTTCAGAGAAAAAGGCCGCCACCAAGGCTTCCCCAAGCGGCACTTTCGAGCATTCCTACCCTCTCCTTCCCTCGGTCGGACACCTCGTCAAGGAGAAGGGCCTGAGCAAGGAGGAGGTCAGCAAGATCAAGGGTACCGGTCCTCATGGCCGTCTGGTCAAGGGTGATATTTTGGCCTATCTCGGAACTATCAACCCCGAGACTCCTGCCGCCATCGAGGCCCGCTTCAACACTCTTTCCCACCTTGACCTCAGCAACATCAAGGTCGCCGAGAAGAAGGCACCCGCCCCCAAGGAGGCTCCCAGGCAAGCCAAAGAGGTTCCCAAGTCCCCCGTTATCGAGAACCTCGAGGTTTCTGTCCCTGTTTCGCTCGCCAAGGTTGTCGAGGTGCAGAACAAGATCCAGGACACTCTCGGCGTCTTCTTGCCCATCTCTACCTTTGTTAGTCGCGCCGCTGAGGTCGCCAACGACGACCTTCCTCGCCTTAAGCGCGCCCCAACCGCCGACGAACTCTTCGACCAGGTCCTGGGTCTCGACAAGGTCAAGGCCGCCAAGGGCTCCCGCGGCCTGTACCTGCCCCAAATTTCCGCCATCCCCCCCTCCTCCCTCTTCGGGGCCCAACCTGCTGCCCCTAAGAAGACCGATATCATCGATATTCTCGCCGGTCCTATCAAAAAGAAGTCTCCACAGCCCGCTGGCATCCGCACTGTTCCTGGGATCTCAAGCAATGCCAACGTGTTTTCCTTGGTGGTTCCCAAGGGCGAAGAGGAGCGCGCCCAGGTATTCTTGGAGCGCTGCAAGGCTATTCTCGAGGAGGAGCCTGGTCGACTAGTGTTGTGAGGTGGAGATTGCGTAGTTCCTTGTAATTATATCATACGACTATAGACATTGATTGGGTAATTGGACGTCTTTCTTCCTACAACTGCTTACCTTGAGACCACCAGGCATGGCCTGTGGAATGGCCAACATCGATAAGAAATTTCTTTGAGCTTCAGTTTCCTGTTTACAACTGACGGGGGAGGAATTCAGTCACTCAACAAACACATCAACCCAGCTCAGGTACCTAGTATGCAATACCAGACTCTCCTGCAACAATCACACACCAATAAGATTGAGCCCGGTTAGCTCAATCGGTAGAGCGTGAGACTCTTACAGAGTACACAAATCTCAAGGCTGCGGGTTCGACCCCCGCATTGGGCTATTCCTATACAAGCACGCGGTGTTTCTTTTTTGCTCTTTTGTCTAATTTTTGCTTTCGATTTTGTTCTGTGAATGTAACTTGGGTTGTTGTCGGAGACTTTGATACCCCGGCATACCAGCTGACCAATTCATTGTCCTTCGACCGATAGCTTATGTGACCAGCAGCAAGTGGTACTACTCAGGAGGGAACCAAGGGCCTGCTGAGAAATAATAATACCTAGGTAGCCAACCCACGTCGGCGGCAGCAGGCCTGGCTGGGGAAGGGGCGAGGTCAGTCAGACAGGATGAATACCCAGCAGCTAGGGAGCTTTGAAGACTTAAGGGTATCAGCAGACGGGAAAAGAATGAGTTGAGGAATGGTCGTCGGGGTTCGAACTGGATAGGTAGTCTCTGTTTTGAGTTGCTAGCTGGGGAAGAAGAACAAATCTGACAGCTCCGCAACGCTCTCTGGACAATGGCACAGGTCTCATTCTTGGGATATTAATTAGGACGACGGGCTTCCTTTCGGTGGAATCGTTCGTCTGGAAAGAGACCTGTTCGAGAAAGCTCACAGCCTGGTGCTGCTTCTAGGGGGTCTAACTTCGTTGTCTGGTCCCTGTTCGCCTTGTGTTGAGGAGCTACACTTCATCCTTGCCCATCACAGCTGATCGTTGCCGTCTCTTTGAGCTTCGGATGATGGGTCATCCTCTATGCCACGATATTCCGCTCTTGTCCTCTATTCGGCTATGTTTTGGTCTACTTGCGACCTACAGTGTCAACCGACAGTCAGGCGTAGCCCTAGTCCTAGCAAGACAGCCATTAAACTGACCTGTGCAGAGACTCCAACAACTCTTCAGTACCTTGCAATTTGTTACAAAAACTGGGATGTTCTTGGCAAAAATACACACGATTCTTGCCTTGAATGCACATTTCTTGTGGTCAAAAGTAAAGAGAATGGAAAGGCAAGCGGAAAAATAAATAGAGGAGGAGAACGTAGGGTAGATTAAAAGAAAAACTGCGAAAACTGCAAAAAATAAGATTGCTAGCAATTGCACGTTTCGATCGTGCGACCTCCGGGTTATGAGCCCGGCGCGCTTCCACTGCGCCAAATTGCTTTATTGCTTGTTGAAGAAGCTCGCCTCAATTTGACACTAAAAACTGCAGGCAAATCCATCCAACTCAATAAGAGCTACATCTATCTCCACCACATCAAATCCGTAACATGACGGGTACAGAATAGTGATGATCCAGCCCGATTCAAACGAATTAGTTGTTGGTAACGAAGCTCGTTAACGCGTTGCGATTCAAACTGTTTATCCATCTTCCTCATAACCCGCATACCAGACCCCGTACATCGAGAGCACAAGACACTGCACATACTGAGATGAAAACCAAGAAAATGGGCTCAAACAGCCTTCGATCTTTCATTTTGCCGATTCCTCGCTTTCAAATATTACAAACTCCCATCAAGTAACCCCCGGACCCAATCTATGCTTTCCTCGGCCACTAAAACATGTCTCAGTCTTGTCCCTCCTCGGTTCTTCCTTGTGCCTCCAACACCCTTCAACTTCCTCGTCGCCCGCGCTTCGTTGGCGGTGGCGACCTCGACACGCTATCGCTGTAGCGTCTTCTCTTGGCCGGCACCGGGCTCAGTGATCTCTTATCATCTCCACGATTCGATGGGCTGCGCGACCGAGAATACGAGTCTCGTCGGCCACCGTTTCGGGCTGGCGACGGAGATCGCGAATCATATGAGGGTGAGCGGCTGTGTTGCCTGGGTTTGCCCCGATGCCCGCTGCTCACCGAGGAGCTGTTTCGCCGGTATGAACCAGGTCCAGGTCGCCCACTGGGCCGCCCACGTTGTGGAGGCCCGGCTGGAGACTTAGCTCGTCCCTTCACGGGTGTGGGAGACCGACTCTGAGAATCATATGAACGACTTCGTGTGCGCATCCGCTTATCTCTATGAGCTGGAGATGGTGATCGGCTTTGTGAATTATATGACCGGCTGCGAGCACGACCCTGTCGAGGCGGGGTCCGAGAACGGCTTCGCGAGTCATACGGGGCACTTCGCGCCCGTCCACGACCACCTCGAGGTGCAGGAGATCTCGAGCGACTGTCACTGCTATAGCGGCGTTCTCGTCTAGGGCTAGCAGAGTAAGACCCTGGACTACGTCCACGCCCGCGTGCCGAGACGGATCTGGTTCTGGATCTGGAGTAAGATTTCGACCTCGACCTCGACCTTGAGTCGCTGTAAGAACGGGCCCGTTTTCGTCGCGATGGAGTTCGTGACAGCGAACGGCCGCGTTCACCGCTCCTTTGAGGAGATCGCGATCGCGATCGGGACCTCGAGTACGACGACCCTGTGTAAGAAGAGTAGCTTGATGCCGAGTCGGAATCCGAATCAGCGGCTGGTGGGGCAGGGAGTGCCGGCTTGGGCATGTTCTGGAGGTACTCTCGCATCTCTTCGGTGAGAGCGCCCATGCCGATACTGGTAAAGTAGTTGATTGAGAATCGAATATTGCGAGCGTTATCCTTGGGAAACAATCCCTCAAGGTTAGGGCGCAATGTCTCGTCCGTCATCCGCATCCGTAGCTTGGGCATGCCAATTTCCTCGGCAATGTTCTGGAAGAGAATCTTGATGAAAATACGACTACTCGACGTCGTCTCTTCCTCGTTCAGGTGGATGGCGGAGAGGCAGTGCCAGCCCAGAGCATCCGAGGCGAACATGTGGCCAAACAGCATAGCAATGTTGCGCAGCTTGTTGTTCTCGTATCGGTGAATGGTGTCGTAGTACTTGACGAAA